GACCATCTTTATTAATGATACAATGGTAAAACCCTTATATATATATATATATATATATATATATATATATATATATATAGAGAGAGAGAGAGAGAGAGAGTATATTCAGTAACCAACTACAGAATAAGTTATTCTGTAGCCACCTCTATTTACGATAATTTTATATACTAATTTACGATAAAGTGAATCCATAGGGAGAGTATATTCAGCAGACAGCTATAGAATAAGTTATTCTGTAGCCACCTCCATTTACGATAATTTTATATACTAATTTACGATAAAGTGAATACATATTTACGATAGTTGTGTTACTATAACACATAAGAATATTTACCATAATATTATAGTAAATCACATAGGCCCCGTTCGCTGAAAAAACAAGCCGAAACACTGTTCCAACTGATTTGTTGTGAGAGAAAAATACTGTTCCGACTGAAAAAACAAGCTAAAAAATACGGATTATAAGATAAGCGAACAGGGCCATAGTAAGGAGTTACTATAATCTCGTGAATTAGTATAGTAATTATCGTAACTCAATAACTACTATGCTAATTCACTATAACACTTATGTGGTTACTTTGAGTTACGATAATTATTATGTTAATTCACGAGATTATAGTAACTCCTTACTATGACCTTGTTCGCTTATCTTATAATCCGTACTTTTTAGCTTAGTTTTTTAGTCGGAACAGTATTTTTCTCTCACAACAAATCAGCGGGAACAGTGTTTCGGCTTATTTTTTCAGCGAAGTGAACGGGGCCTATGTGATTTACTATAATGTTACGGTAAATATTCTTATGTGTTATAGTAACACAACTAAATATGTATTCGCTTTATCGTAAATTAGTATATAAAATTATCGTAAATGGAGGTGGCTACAGAATAACTTATTCTGTAGCTGGCTACTGAATATACTCTCCCTATGTATTCACTTTATCGTAAATTAGTATATAAAATTATCGTAAATGGAGGTGGCTACAGAATAACTTATTCTGTAGCTGGCTACTGAATATACTCGGTAAGACTATTCTACAGCTGGCCACAGAATAACTTATTCTATAGCCAACTTGTTTTACGATAATATTTGTACCAATTTACGATAATGACAATACACATTTACGATACATGGGTTACTATAATTCAAGATAATACTTACCATAATGTTATAGTAAATCACTTATGAGACAGTTATCATAATCTCGTAAATTAGTATAGTAATTATCGTAACTCAAAGTGGCCACAGAATAACTTATTCTGCGGTATATATATATATATATATATATATATATATATATATATATATATATATATATATATATATATATATATATATATATATAGACACACACACAACTAGGATACGTATGTAACGTATACAACCTGTGTAATGAAAATATTGGACCCCGGATATGGTTTCTGCCCAGGTGCTGCGTGATACTTGCATAAGCAAGAAGCTTAACAGCATAAGCACATAGCAACCCAGACAACACATATATTTTTCTACAGTTCTCAACCTTGGATTTTTGAAGGGATCCCTCAACTTCCATGCTCAAAAGTCAAAAATCAAAATGGCCGTGCGACCTGAATCGTGGAGTGTTACGTCGATATGCAAATGGAGAATTACAAAGGAAGGGAAAACCCAGGGAGGTACTTGGAGTCAACTCCAGACTCACGGAGCAGAGCAACCCGTCCTGCCCGTGCAACCTGCACAAGGCATGGGCAAAGAGTACAGCTAGTTATTGCGATATATTCCAAGCATCTCATCTCACACTTTAGCATTGGATCCAGTCCTCCAGACATAGAAAACTTGGACAGTTTTGCTCATGGGTCATGCATGTAATGGGGATAATGGTAGACATGAATGTGAATTAGAAGCTCAATAGTCAATACAAACCTCACAGATACCATATTGCTCAGCTCCAGCATCTTTTGCAATCTAACCATTCTGTCAATGTCTCCGGTGAGCTGCATATGCCAACAAGATTATTGCTCACTAATCATGGCACCAAGGAAACATTATTGATTAAAGAAATTGGTGCAACTATGAATTCATATTAATTAATCAAAAATGAAGGGGGCCGAGCCAAAAAGAAGAAGAAAAACTATAAATTTGAGCCAGTCTTCTACAATGGACAGTTACTAGAAACTTTAGCAGCTGACCTTATTTTAGCTTTTAACATCAATATACTATGTTACTTCATGGCAGGATCATAACGCCGTGATGAAATCAAAGATGAACCATATGGTGTTTCTACTATCCCAAGGATTTTATACAAGATTAAATTGTAATAATTTTGGAAGGATATTAGAGTGCTACATGAGGTAATTTTGGAACGATATTAGAGTGGTACATGAGGTAAGTGCTACATGGGAGAACTAGCTCCCGGTCGTGATTCCCATGCCGTAGTGGTTGTGATCGTGCGCCCGTCCATCAGGCTAGACAGGATTTGGACGGTGCTAGGACACACGGGTTGACATAGCCGAGTCCTGGTGTTGTCTTGTCTGGTAGTGGAATGCTGCCCAAGATGACGCTTGCCCTAGGACCGGACGGTCAGAGGTGCGGTCGTCCTTCTTGTACCCGGTTGAGTGCACGCGCGTGCGCGTCCTATCTGGGCAGGTGCATTTAATGTGTCCACCCACCTCTCGTCCTTTCCTTAGCGGCTAAGGCAGGAGGTGGTCAAGGGCACCGCGCGGTGCGTGGTCAAGAGACAGGAGAGGTCGAGGCGCGCCTCGTACGGCTCGGAGTTGGGAGGTCGAGGCAGGCCGCGGTTAGCTGGGCCATGGCCATCTGGGCCATCCTTAGCAACTGTGCTTTGGTGGCAGTGATGCAGGATTTAGACCCGACAGTGATTGCATGTTGGGCACTAGTGTACGAAGTTTGCGTTACTATCCTGTGAAGTTTGTTGTTGATCTTCCTAATCGTTTGGGTGATAATATGGCCTGGATCTCTATGAACTCCTCAACATAGATGTAGCTTCCTTCATGGAGGTAAACCTCACAAACCTTCTTTCTCTTTGTTTGGTTTGTAATCTAATATATATGCATGGTTTCCATGACACTGAGGATTTTTAGTCGATCTACCCACTTCTGAGTTTGTTTGACCAGGCTTTTGTTGGGACATCCCATCCACCTATTTTTTTCCATACTCGACTTCAAGTATAACTCACTAGAGTAACTCGCTTTGTTACAACATCAGTTTTAAAAAACATCTCTTTAGGACATACCAACTCTATAAAAATTGGGATTATCAGGTAGTTCTAATTCCATCACAAAAGTTTGGTTTTTCAGTTAATGCACATTCATCTAATGCATCACACTATATTTGAGGAACAACTCTAAGAGCGAGGTCAATAATAATGCCAAGTGCTTGGCTATAAATCAAGTTATAAAACCTAAGCTATATAATAGTTAGTCTTCTATATGTCTACAAACTTTTATTATTATTATATGCTTTCATTATCTTTGCTATTCATCCTCACATACATTTCTATTGGGACCCACTACTGCCTATATATGCTTCCGTGCCTAATTTGTTGCTTGCATGAGAGCCAAACTCTCTTCTCTCTTCTCCTTTCCCTCATTAACATCAGCAAAAATGCTGACTAGCTTGGCCATAAGACAATTGTTGTATTTGCTCTAAGGCGATGATGAGTATAATTAGCTCAATAGGTTGAAGGAATAGCTTCAATGTTCTAATAGATAATGCCCTAAGGGAGTCCAAAGTCCAACCCATGCACAACAAGAGCTTATTCCAAAATCAAAGATGATATATATCTGGTCCAGATCTACAATAGAAACATCAAGTTCTATTCATATGGTAAAGAGTACAAAAGTTTGAAACTAGAGAGCATTGTCTCAATTATTTGGGCACCAAGTGCACGAAATCGATCACCTGGATGTCCGCCCAGTTACCTGGCTTATAAGCATCATAAATCACTATTTCTATCTCCTCAAACAAATGAACCAAATGCTGCCTAACTATTCCTGGCAAGTCACCTCAGGCAAAGGCAGGTGAAATGCCCAGGCAGCTAGCTCAAGGTTGCATCCAAACAACCCCTAAATGCTTACAATATCCCCAAGTACAACTAATATGACTATTAGATGGTAACTCATATTTGACAACTAGGTAACAACTCATGTGTAGCTTATGGACATCTAGATTTAAGATTTTTCTTGAGTAAACTAGTATACTAGTAGTAAAAGCTATTTTTGTCTCTGTTGCTTCAAGTAGATATAGATGAGTTGGATTTTCCATAGTGGTGATATTCAAATTTACTTCTTGTCCTTAGTAGGAAAATCATATTTCTCTTCTATTCTTGATGTCAAAATTAAATCTAGTTGAGCTTTGATATTTGAATACTCTTGAATCATCCATGTGACGTAGCTCATCATCGTCCCCACTGGTACTTCTCTCAAAATGTAAGAACTGAGAATTTATTACACAATGCCGTTTAATGATGGGCATGCATGACAGATTTTTCTCTGGCTGCATAATTAGTACTGTTATTCCTAGAAATGCTCGTACTTTTTTCTTGAGTTTTAGAAAAGCTTGTACTTAAGGATAAATGGAACTATGAACCATATGGTCATTAATATGGCTTACTTTAGATGAGTTGTTTTTCTTTCTTTATTACCTCTGCAAGTAATATAAAAAATCATTTGTGATACTCATTTAAGCACTAGCCTCTAGCAAACCGACATTTTTTAACAGAAGTGGACCCCATCTGACACTGTCCTTGTGGCGTGGCCTGGCTAACACGTCAGATGAGAGAGAAACACGTTGGCTAGATATAGAGGAGGACGGCAACTGGCAGCAGTGCACACAGCACGTAGAGCACGCACGCAGCGGGCTCGCACTGGTAACGCCCCTCGACCCTTCTCTCTTTCCCTTCCTTTCCGATCTCCGATCTTCGGTAATCCATCCATCGTTTATTACTTGAACCTTCAATCTACCACCGCTTGAAGGCTCGATCAGTGTTAGCAGTTGGATCGGAGAAGGATGGATCGGCAATCAAGCAGCACCAGGAGGATGGAGCGACCCTTCCGATTCCTGCCGGAAGAAGTGAAAGAGATGGAGGAGCGCCTGTTCCCCGTCACCAGTTGCAGGCTGGATCACATCCTCATGGATGAGCTCGCTGTGAAATTTAGCTACTTCCGGGGCCTTGCTGGCATGACTCCCGTCAAGTCAAAGCAGGTACATGACTAGCTCTGTGCATCGATGTTCCAGATATTTCAAATTCCTCCTCCCACATGAACCTTTTTCATTCGGGATCTGGGGCTCGATCGATCTGGGCTGGGGGGAACTCATGCGCAGGTGCTCAACTGGTTTCATAACAATCGTAACAAGCATTGCCCCAAGATAGCCAGGGAAGCACATGCTCCGGTGAGCACAAGGGAGTTTTATTGGGCCAACCATCAGCAAGTTCGAGGCTCCTCCCTCAGCAAGTTGAGGCCAACAGTCACTACGCACGCAGGATCTTCGTCTTCCTCAGGTGATAGATGTTACCTATGATCACTGATAATGCTTCTTTGCGTGGATCTGCTAGTCGCTGGTTTTTAGGAAGGCAATAATAATGGAACACCACAGTGAGCGAGTGATCAAATCTATGAACTGAGTTATGATTTATGAGCATATAAGTATTATGCTCCTTATCTTGATCTGTATGTAACTGATAGCCATGGAATTGATAGTGAGGTCCTAAATGCCGTATTATTCATCTGACGTAGAAGGTTTGTTTCCCATTTCATGCTAAAAAGCTAATAATAAACTGTAACTCTGCGTGCAGCCTTTTAGTACCATCAATCATACTTCGTCGTCGTTGTTCCCTTACATGCCAAATGAATGTGTTGCATCCTTTTAGGATCTATGAACTTGTTTGTTGCCCATGTTTACATGCCTCCTCATAACTTCCAGGCACTTCTTTTCTATTATTAATTAGGATATATATTGCTACGTTCTGTTTTTATTCTTGCTACACATCGATATGCATCACAAAAACATGACAATTATCTCCAGGGCAGTATTATTCTTTAGGATATTGCTATATGTTATGATTTTATTCTTGCAACTGATATGCATCACAAATCCATGACAATTGTCTATCATATATGTATCTTCCTTCTGCTCATTGTTGTTAGCATTATTTAAAAATCAGGGAATAATTATATCAATGATCACACCAAGTATGAAGCTAAGTCAGCTAGAGATGGCGCTTGGTATGGAGACTCTTGCACCTGGCCTTCTTATATTTTGCTTTTTGATTGATTGCCAAATATTACAAGGTTTTCAATTTTCGAAAAAGTGATGGGGGATGTGGTTGTATATATACACGTCTTCCTTACTGCGCATCTAATTTCTGGATGGACTACTCATACATAAATTTTTTAAGCCCTTATATCTTACCATGTATATTCTCTTATGCACTTATTAATAAAAGTAACAAAGATCGGTATAGTGCTTTTTTTATAATGTATTTATGCGTGCCAATCAAGACAAATTATCCCTATTAGCTTATCCTTGTATCCGCGGGTCTCTGTTTTGATATATGAGTCAAATAAAATAATCTAGCTGACATAGCTGATATTCCAAATGATAGTGTGTCTAGGTCTAACAGATTTTTCCAACGGTTTGGAGGAAGTTATATCATAAGCAAAAGATGTTACATGCATGGAAGAGAAGGGATTGGATAACCCTATGAAGTGCTGCTTGAAACATGATCATTTGTATAAAGTGCTTTCTACCCTTCGTCATTGAAACCAGCCGTTTGTATATATATAAAGTTTTCTATGCAGCATTTTTTATTCTTCATATGTGCATCGTTATATATTGCAGGTTCGATGTCCAAGACTTCATGGCTCAAAGGTTTTGCGAATCAGGTGATTTGGTAAGGAAATCAAATTTTGATGATGTTCATAAAAAGTAAAGGCAGCCGTTAGTTATTTGTCCAATAATAAGCATCTGTTAGTCATAGCAACGTACATATGATTCCATTCTCATTTATATGTACAGGGAGGAAACCCTGGGGCTAAACGCAGTAAGTTAGTCTGTGATATAGGTTGCTTTGGTACTCGTGTTACACTCAGATAGGGCCCATATGTACTTAATATATTAAATTTTTTTGAGGCAAGAGATATTAAGGTATAATGACATTATGAGACATTCCAACAAATCTCAGGCAGCTAGGCAGAGGAAATAAAGAAGATTTGAAGATGTGGTTTATTATTATAAGTTTCTGTAGGAGTGTATATATTTTTGACATAAAAATCAGTTCCTTTGCATTGCATTGCTAGTTGGTGTCCTCTAGTTTCTACAAGTCGGCACATCATGCCACACTACTTTGACTTCCCTATTACAGAATACTTGTTAACAATTATCTGCTTCTATATAGTTAACCACCCCCTACCATGTAAAAAATACTTTGGTACCAAAGAGTGAGCCAAAAATAAAAGAGATGGGGTGCTGTACTGAGAAGCCTCAAAACAAGGCAAAGAAAAGCAACAAAGGAGTAACCCTGAGAGGGGCTGCAAAACTATTATAGAGAAGCTATACAAGGCAGAAACTCAAGGCGCTTGACATCACTGAATCTATATGTGGCTCGGGCTAAACCCTCTATGTTGAGCTTATGGCTAAGATTAAGGCTGGTCATATGGTGTGCAGCTGTCTCATCATCATAAAATCTACTCTGCACTACAGCCTTCCATTACGTGCTAGAGAAGCATCATATCACTGGCCGACCTCTCCGCTTACCTCTTAGAACTACCATATAGGTTGCCTTGTTCTGATGCATGTCTCCGCATAACTCTCCGTGTCATCTCCCTAGGTGGCGGGAGGGGCGACAGCCGCCTCCTGAAGCGAGCCCGCCCTGGCTGTCCAACTCTTGCCGCTGTCATGCAGCCTTCTCCCCCTTCTTCCTCCCACTCTCCTAAACTCATCCTCCCTGTTGTCTTCCCCGTCGAGTGGTCCTCGCTCCAGTCAGATCTGTGCTTCTAGGGGCTAGATCCATGTGTGTGGGACCCGGATCTATGGAGGATGTAGGTGCTCGGCACGGCTTACCAGCTCCAGGCAAGCTCCGGCTATTAGCTATCGTGTTACCTTGGCGGTGGTGGTGGCAGTGCTGCTGGCCATGGCATGGGTGGTGCTGGCTGTGCTTGTGACCATAGCGGCGGTGACGGCCACACTGGTGGTGGCAGCAGAGGCTGCGCTACTGGTGGTGGTGGTGGAGGCAGCAACTGTCACGGTCACGACCGTGCTGGGGCTCATACATCGTGCTTCGGTAGATTCTTGGCGAAAGTCTTGCCCGTTTTGTGGCCGGTGCCGATGACGATGGCGTGTGCTCGTGCATCATGCTTCTCGGAGACGTCGTTGAAGATCCATCTTCCTTTGTTGCATCTGGTGTCTAGGTGAAAACCCAAGTCCGATTCCTCGGACAAGTCACGGTGGCATCTTTGTGTGTCATTTCCTTCTAGGAGGCGTTGCTTTGGACACCACCATTTCCTGTATGCACAAGCTGTCAGGGTCATCCTAGTTGACACCATGCGGTCGTTGCCGCCATCCCTGCTACGTTATCGGTCCTCAAGGGAGATTTGTATTGTACCTGTGTATGCTTTATATCCTACTTCGCAATGGTCTGTCCTGCTATTCTTGTTTGGGTCGTCCTTCCTAGCGGAAGCTTTGCCACAGTCGTTTGGCTTTCGTGGTGGATACTTGCCGCTACCGTTGTCGGCGGATGCTTGGCTGCTGCAAGTCTCCTCTCTGATGGATGCTTTGCCGCCATTGTCGTGTTGGCTTCTCTCTTGCAGATGCTTTGCTGCCGAGGTTGCTTTGGACCCTTCTCTGGCGAATTATGCTTTGCCGCCGTTGCTGTGGATGCTCGTCTCGGCTTATTTGGGGTGGACGTTTTGTGCCACCATGGTCTTGCCTTCTATGTAGGCAACCATTGTGTCAATGTCTTTTGTTCTTACAGGCCCAGTTTGTTTGTTTGGGCGTTGAGGCTGGCGGTCCCCTCCCCTTGCCTTTTCTTCATGTTATGGTTTGTTTCTAGCTAGTTGTCTACCACTGTCTTGGTGGTTTGTAGCCTACTCTACAAGGGCTCTCTCGTACTTGCGTCCAACCGTGATGACTGAACAATACCATGATCCTTGGTTGGACCCTCTAGAATCATGTGTATTATGTAGATCTAAAATAATTCAAATCAGTACGTTATATACTGGAGATAACTCTGACACTATCTTACTTTGTACACATAAACTTACACATATATATTTATTGGCCTACATGCTTTCAATTGTAACATCATACGCAATTTATATATGTTTAAAAATGCTTGTATAGTTTCCTGGACATGCCATAATTATTTTTCTTATAAGTTCCCTGTTTGTGTAGTTTCTACTGTCATTTTATGTTGTTCTGACTGTGTGTGCCATTTTTTGCTTGCCTTATGAATCAGAAACTATTGGTTCATTTTCTGGATTTGGAGCAGAGGAAGCTGAATGGATCAATGCTCGTACATGTTTGCGGCAACGCTCAGTGCCATACAAGGCCACAGAATGTGCAAATGTTCATTGTTGGGACCCTGTTCTTTGTTATAAGGTATTGTAATATTAAACTCCCTTTTGCTGCTACCTTAATTAGTATACAACATCTACATTCAAACAAGAACTTTTGGGATGGACGGTAGTTAGGTTGCTCTATCTATCACTAGAACTGTGCATTCAATAGTATATATACTTGGTATGCCTATATCAAAAAGGGTTTTCATAGTTAGTCGATTCTTTTATACACTATAATGTTTTAGATTATACTAGCTCCCACCATTAAAAAAAGTTAGTAGGTTAAAGTTTACTTTATGCTAACTCACACTTATCTAATTAACTTTTATCTGAGATTGTAGAAAATAAATTAAAATATACAACACTAGATAATAGATGCAAAGGATCACCTTATAGTACCTGGCAAGTCGACACTTGACTGCCATCGCTTGTGTCCCATTAGCGTGGAAGAACAGCAAGCTATCATCTGCAAACAGCAGTTGGGACACAACCGGCGTCCTTCTGCACACTTGTAAGCCATGTATACGTTCTCCTGATATCTACTGCTGCAACACTTTGGACAGACCTCAGCAATAAACAGGAATAAATAAGGCAACAAAGGATCACCTTATTAGCGTAGCCGTCGTGTAGGTTGGAAGGTGTCCAGCATGACACCATTGAAGCGCACCGCAGAGCATATAGTGGTAACACACGCATGACCAAAAACTGTACCCATTTCCTATGAAAGCCCAGCTTCACAAGAACATTTTCCAAATAGCTCCAGTCCACAAGATCATACGCCTTGGCCATATCTAGCATGTACACACAAAAGTTACTCCTATCTGAATTATATCCAATATCGCATGAATACACTCAAAACCAATCAACGCATTGTCAGTAATTAGACAGTTGGGAATAAATGCACTTTGGTTCTCAGAAATTGAATTATCAAGTAAAGGCCACAAATGATTTCCCAAGCATTTAGAAACAGCCTTATAAACGACAATGCAAAGGCTTATCAGCCTATAATCCCTTACCTTCTCCGAGAACTTTACTTTCGGTATGAGCTCTATAGCGGTATCATTCACACTCTTCTGCATGTGCCCATCAACAAAAAAGGCATGTACTACCTTACATCTTCCCGGAGTGTGTCCCATTTTCTCTGGAAGAAGCGGATGGGGAAGCCATCCAGGCTCGGGGCCTTTCACGGACCAATCTGAAATAGCGCGTCAGTGACTTCCTCCTTTGCATAAGGCTTACATAGAGACATATTCATCTCCTCGCTAATACAGCAGTCAAACAACGATGTTAGCACTTGGGGTTCAACATTAGGGTCCTTCGTGTAAAGGTCATTAAAATAAGAATTTACAAGCCCTTCCATCAATAGTGTATACTTGGTATGCCCATATCAAAAATGGTTTTCAAGGTTAGTGGATTCTTTTATACACTATAATGTCTTAGACTATACTCCCAGCATTTAAAAAGGTTAATAGGTTCTACTTTTGTACTTTATGCTAAATCAAACTTATCTAATTAACTTTTATTTAAGATTATAGAAAATATATTAAAAAATACAACACTAGATAATAGATGCACTATTAAGACATATTTCATGGTGGTTTTTATGAAACTAGTTTAGCGCTGTAATTGTAGTTGTTCGCATTTTTCTATAAAGTTGTTAAAAAATAACAATAGATTAAAGGTTGATTAATGAAGATATAGCATGGGGTGGGGGTGCCATATTGGAGGAATAGAAGAGTGAAGAAATGAGATACAGTGGGAAAATGATAAGCTAGAGCGAGATTAGGTATGAGTTGAGTAAATATTTCTTAATACTTGTGATTGTGGATTGGGTTTCATTCTTCATACAGTACATGTACTAGAATTGAGTTCCGTAAAAGGATAAGAATTTGTTTCATGGACTTCCTTTAATTTTAATGTCAGCAAGCTCTAATAGTTTCTAAAATGAACATACAAACTTATGAACTAGAGTACTGAATATACACATAAGTCACAACTATATCGAAAAAGGAACTTTTAGAAAATTACAGTCCAGCATAACGGGCTTGAATAAGGGACTTTTCTTTTCGATTGTTTATGCTTGTGTAACATTGTGAAAGAATCAACAACATAGAAGTAATTTATTTGTCTTCACATTTTCTTGTTCCGTAATTCTATCTCTTACCATAGCAGTGTTGTCTCTCATGAATATATATACTTCTGTTCTAAACTGTTCAGGTAAGTGAACAGAGTGCACTCTATTTTGACGCTGAAGTGCATGCTATTGAAAGGAAAACGCATCATTCAGGAGAAGAATGTGATTGTAAAATCCTTGTTCTTTATGTGCATGATAATTCTGAGGTACTTTACTTCTAATATTGTCCATTCACTAACTACAATTCAGTTATTGTACTAATTTCTTTGATTTATCTTGTTTTCTTATGCCTATTCTTGTAACTCTTCATTATATAATAATGTCTATGCATTGAAAATTTATAATTGTAGTAGATGCACCTGCTGACATGCTTTATATCAGTTATTTCAATGGACAGACTCTGC